TTGTTTAGGTGTGATTGGCCACTAATTGAATCTGTCCTATTTAAAGATGAGCCCCAAGAATGACTTAGGTATCTTTAAATAATAAATCCTGATCTACAATTTAGAGTTTAGGTTTAGGAGTACGGTTACGTGTGAGAAAAGTTACAACACCCCTATAGTGCCCATCCAAATGATGGTACCTATTTGATTTTAAATTATTCAAGCCTTGATCATATTTGTAATTTACCAAATTATTTAATGTTAAAAATTAGTCTTAAACTTGTCTCAATAGTTTAGTTGCGATTTAATATAATTCTCTCATCTCGAAAGTATTCATGAAGACTAGAGTCTCACTATGAAAAGGCTTCGTCATTAGATTTATTAATTTATTTTATTTCAAAAACAATTTAGTAAAGTTTTTCAATAGTTTGGTTCAAGGTCGGCAAATCCATCCGAAATCGTCGGGTTTCGACCCGACCCGATCATTTAGGGTCAGATTTTTTTGAAAAAAATGGGTTTTGAGTCGAGTCGGGGTCGATTTTATTTTTTAGAAAAACGGTTTCGGGTTGGAGTCGGTTTTATATTAAATTTGACCCTACCTGACCTGAAATATTTACAAAAATAACCTTACTATATATATGTAAATTTTTTTTAGGGTTTTTCATTTCCTTCTGCAGTTTGCGCCTCTTAGCCACTCAAGCCCGATCTCCTCACACAGCCTTCTCATTTCCTTCTACAGTTCTACCTCCTGCCTGTCCGATCTCCTCACACAACGAGACTTCATCTCTTTCTGCAGTTTTGCCTCTTACCCGCTCGATCTCTGCCTCCTGCCGACTCACGAATAGGGCACAACTCGACCCAATAGTAGTATCCCTTTTTTTGAGAAAAGGCACGCTAATTGATTCTCATCTTGTCCAGTCTATTGTAATGGCGCCGCTAAGAAAAGAGGCGAACGAAAACGCTTGGGCGGACTAAGGCTAAGCAAACAAGCTAGTTTCATACCAGTCGACTCTTGGGAAGTGAGACCGACAAAGCATTTCATTTGAAAGAAAGGCGAGTCGAGTATTTGACTGCTGTTACTAACCTTTGAGATTTAAAGTTTTCGCTTGACTCTTCCGTTTTGTCAAGTAGCTTACGTTTTTCAAGTAAAACCCTCAAAGCTTATTTAAACAAACATAATGAAATTATAGATAGTTTGAACTTGAAAATCAACACTTTCAGTCTAAAGAGTTTAAATATACAAAAATAGTGTTTTACCGAGATTTTTGCCAGCAATAAAATTTCACTCATAAGTGAGAGAAAAATCTTAACATTTTGGCACTTGTGTTATATTGATGCAAACCCAAAGTGATCCATTTGGAAAAAATATTCAGCTCTGATATGATTATAAAAGGTCTGCCATGCCAAAAACCTCACTCTCAGATTTCATTAGTCCCGTAGAAAAAACCATCAAATTTTCAATGGAAGGGCATTGTAAACTCGACAGATTTGACAATGATAAAGCTGATGTAGCCATGTAAGGCATGTGGAGGGATTGAGAATAAAGTTCACTGCAAAATTCTCTCCACAGATTGATCAGAATCATCAAAGGGACAAGGAATATAGGCCAATGTAGACTGCCAACCAAACAAGGTCTTTAAGTGAAAATAAAACTGTCGGGTCGGGTAAAATTCGGGTAACAATATGCTTAGCGGGTCGGGTTCGGGTATTTCAATTATAACCTCTGAGCGAGTACGGGTCAGGTATCGGGTAAAACTAGGGAAGCTTCGGGTCGGAAGCGGAGGCAGCAAAAAATCGACTTGCCTCGCCCCGTTGCCAACACTAGTTTGGTGTGACTTACTTTGAAGTAGATCTCTTAATATTTTAGCGAGATTTTATTAAAAGATTTGTAAAAAAAAAATTTAAGAATTTCATTAAGTCTCCAAATAGTTTGGTAAGACTTAATTTGAAGCAATTCTCCAATAGTTTAGAAGATAAAAATTATTTTTATTTTTTTTAAAATTGATATATGAAATTTTTCAATAGTTTGATGGATTTCATAAACTTTAAATCTATGAAAATTCTCCAATAGTTTGGTATAATTCATGAATTTATTTAAAAATATTTTTTATTATTTTTCATAAATAAAATAATAAAAAGAATTTTTATAAAATATTTAATAAATGATAAATTGCCAAAAGAATCAACAAAATATAATAAATAATAAAAATGAAATAAAAACTTAAAATATAAAATGATAAAATAATAAAAATAAAAATGAAAAAAAGAAAACATGTGATCGGGTTGGGTTGCGCATGATAAAACACATGGATTTGGGTGCATCAAATTTTAGGCTTTTCTTTCAGAAGTGTTTGAGTATACCTTTATTTCTAAAATGATAATTCTTCTATCTTCTGTTTGACTGATTTCCAAAAATGGACAAATAAATCCCAAAAGCTAATAGAGAATTTTCAAAGACTTAACAAATTGTTTAGAAAACTAAACCCAAAAATCCCTAAAATGCGAAACTTTATAGAAATTCAAATCCAAAAATACCAAATCCTAATTTTAAAAAATCTAAACAACCAAACCCAAGACCTAAAACTTCTTTGTTGATAAATAAATTTCTTTCTTTTTTCTCAAAAGTTTTTGCATAATCTTTTTTTTTTTTTTTAATACCTCCATTTTGCTTTGGTCTTAGATTTATATAGGAATTCATGCTGAATCAATTTCCCATAAATCTATGATTTTATTTGATTTTCATTTTAATGAAAATTGATTATGAAATTAAATCTCAAAAATCTCTCCCTATCATTTTAATGCCAGTTGATTCTTAAATTAAATCTAAAAAATCTCTCAACATTTTAATGTGAATTGATTTTAAAATTAAATCTTAAAATTCTTTCAATTACGGTTAAAGCCCGTTTTCAATTCCAAAAAAATATTTCTGAACAAAATAAGGTGTCTATGAAATAATTTTTTGTTTATTATTAATTAAACATAAAATACTATTATTTAATAAAAATATTTGATAAAAAACATAAGTAGATAAAAGCAATTACATGAAGAATAAATAACATCAATTTTAAAAGAAATAGCTTTCATGTCTATTTTTGGATTTAGTAGCATTGTTTAGCATTTTTATTAAAAGTAATAATTATGAAAAATTGCATTAAAGATAATTAAAAAGGTATGAAAATTGCAACTGGAAATTCGCCCACGTGAGAGCTTGGTCAAAGGACGGTGCCCAATCTTGACAGGCGCGTTGGCCTCTTCCTCCAACCAATGTAAATAAACTGCATAGTTGGAAACGTTGACCGTTTCCTATCTACATGACTGTGACTGCCCACGTTTCTCTGCCGCTCAATTTTGTTTTCCTTTTTTCCTTCTACACTAATTTGTACCCAATTTATTATCTTTATAAAATTATTAGTATTTCTTAAAGAGCAATTGGACAAGATAGTTTTTAAAAAATAATTGCACTCAAATTGTTGCACCCAAAATTCTTATCAATATATAGATACACCAGGAGAGATCTATTTATATAGTATAAAATTTTTTTAGTTTTATATTTTTTAATCATTAATTTTAATAAATCAAAAAGATGAGAGAGATAAATAAATATAAAAAAATAATTTAATTTCATCCTTTAAATCTATTAAAATCAATGATTAAAAAAATTTTACACTATATAAATTAATTCATCTTTTATCTCTATATATAAATTCTCTTTGAATTTTTGATTTTTTGTATCATGTACAATTATGATAAAGGGTGATTGAAATGATCTAATTTTTTTACTAAAAAAATGCATACACCCAATATTGAATTAAATAGTCAAAGCAAAACTCTTCAACTTTGAAATGATAATTGTTCTCATTAATTACATATATTTTTTAAATAATTATATATTTCTTTTTTTTTTACAAAAGATATCAAAGTTTAGAAATATGAATAGAGGTTGTAAATGTGAAAATTTGAATCATATATTTATTAGATATCATCTCTTAAAAATTATTGTATAAATCATTTAACCTAAACATTGTGTTCACATAATTCAATATCATAATCACAAAGCTCCAATATTAAATGAAAGATCAGTAAATTTTTAAGAGGCTTAAAAATCTAACAATGGTCCTACCTTGTTTTTTAAATTTTTTTTCGATGTTTTAATTCTTTTCATTTTTAAATACTTAATACTCTTTTTTTTTTTTTCAAAAACATGAGACATCTCTTGTTAAAAAAATGACAATACTCTTATTTGTTTATATGTTAAAATTAATTTTCAACTTCTTGACATTAAATATAAAAAATCAATAAATATATAAACTTTTCTAAATTTTTAAATAAAATACACCAAAATAAAATTTTTTTAAATTTTCATGAAAATGAAAATGGAGACAAATGAAAGTGAAATGAAAGTGTAAAGATGCGTTAAGGATTATGAAACACCTTCTAATTTAATTTGGAGCTCGGCTTTGGTTCAAAATTTTATTTTATTAATAAAATTTATTTTTATTTAATTTTAATTTAAAAATATGTAAAATAAATTAAAATTTTAATATATTAATATTTTTTAAAAAAGATTTTCGGATCTCTAAATTCTATGAATTGAGTCCAAATTTTAGATAAACTTCTAAAAGATCAACCGAATCTTATTAGATTAGACTCATTGATAAGATTAATTTATTTTTTATATATCCTTACCATATTTTTATGGATTGATAATTTTGACAAAAGTACTGTAAAGAAAAATATGATTCAATTATTCATTTTATCCCATAATCATCCATGAAAAGATGGGTTAAGTTAGATTTTTAAAGTGAAGATTTAAATAAGAGTGGAGAATAGCCAAAGCTACCTATTCCCTTACAACACACTCTCTCTCTCATAATCAACAACAAAAAAAAAAAAAAAAAAAATCTAACATCACACGCTCTTTCCTATAAAAATAAAAACAAAGTTTCTTTATCAAGCTTCCTTTTCATCTCTCTCTTTCCAACATTTCCCAGTGGGTTTTACCCTTCTTCTTCTTCTTCTTCTTTTTTAATCTTTGTTCTTCCCTGATTTCTTTCATTATTCTTGATTATATGTCGTCAAATGAAAAGAATGATCCACAATATAATTATGATTCTTTCCAAGGATTCAACCGATCAACCTTTCCATTCTTTGACGACAATAATCCTAGTATCTACAACCAAGCTGCTGCTGCTGCTCCATTACCAACAATACAGGGCCTTGATCCATCTAACATGAGCTTCGCTGACTGCTTACATGGCTCCATAGTCGACTACAACTCCTTTTCAAGAGCCTTCGACATGTCTTGTTCTTCATCTGATGTTGTTAGTCCGATCGATGATGGTAGTAACTCCATGAAAATTGGCAGAACTGCAGATAATTCAGCAGGGAATAACACTACTGAAAACCCATCCACACCAAATTCCTCAGTGTCCTCTTCCTCTAACGAGGGAGCAGCTGCTGAAGATTCTAGCAAGACCAAGAAAGATAAGAAGCCGAAAGGGTCCAAAGATGGAGATGACAAATCAAAGAAAGTGTAGGTTTTGTTTTAGCTCTTTCTTGGTTTTTGATTCATGGTAAAGCTTTTGAAAGGAGTAGCACATAGTTTTATTTAACTCCATATATTTGTTTTGATCAGTTTCTTCTTCAACTTAGACTATTAAAAATATAATTTTATCTGCCTTTTTGTGGAAGGAATTTGAAGTTATTGTTCTTAATTTTATACCAAAAAGTGAGAGAATTAAAGAAAGAAGGCTGCAAAACCCTAATACATGATAGACATTTTTATGGAGAAGAATTGGTCTTGAAAGCAGGCGTTTGCATATAAAATTTTCAGGAACAAACCAACAAAGGAGAAACGGCAAAGAGAGCCGAGGTTTGCCTTCCTCACCAAGAGTGAGATTGATCATCTTGAAGATGGATATAGATGGAGGAAATACGGACAGAAGACAGTCAAGAATAGCTCTTATCCAAGGTGGTTCTATTAACTGATCTGTTCAAATTTCTGCGCTTAATTCAATCAAAATTATTGAATTCTTGATTAATTTCTTAATTAATTACCATATATACACCAAATTAAACATTACAAGGTACATATAGAGTTAATCTTATGAATAACTCATAAATTATTATAAAATATTTTGATATCTAAATTTTAAAAATCTCTAATATGTTATCTAAATTATAAATTTATTAATTAATTAATGTCATATTTAGAGGGCATTTTATCGGTCACACATAATTTTTTTAAACTAATTACACTAAAGATGAATATCATATTAGTTAATAAATTTATAATTCATATATTACATTAAAGATTTTTAAAATTTAAGTATTACATTAAATATTTCAAGGCTATTCATGACATTATATATATATATATATATATGCTCGTAGGAAGTTAGACTTCACTAAGAATCACTCGATTGTTGTGCAATGATTTGTTACAGTTGAGGAAGTTAAGACCCTGTTAACATTTGCAAATAGTTTTATGATCTGATCACAACCTTAGTTTATTATTACTGCAGAAGTTATTACAGATGCACCAGCCAAAAATGTGGTGTTAAGAAGCGTGTTGAAAGATCATTTCAAGACCCATCAGTCGTTGTCACAACATATGAAGGACAGCACAACCATCACATTCCAACAACTCTTCGAGGCAATGCAGCTGGGATGCTTTCACCTTCAATTCTGGCATCATCAGCATCAATGGCTACCAGCTTATCTCAAGAGTTCCTAACTAGTCATTTCCTTCCTTCAACAAGCAACCCAGCCGGAGACACGAACTCCATGCACTATCAAAGCCTTTCTCCTCATCACCAGCAGCAACTTCAAGTTCCTGATTATGGCTTATTACAAGATTTAGTTTCTTCCTTCGCCCGCAAGCAGGCGCCATGAAAGTCTATATATAGTGATCTATCCCTCTCCTTGAATTTATATATAAATGAACTAATTACAAGTATGAGGCTCACTTAGAGCATTATATCAGACAAGCTGGAGTTCCTGCATTCATATTCTTCATCTTGCAATATTCTCTTCCCTCTCCTTTTGTGAAAATCCTGAATGATGGCTATTCTCTTTGAGCTAAATGCAACTCTTTTTTTATATATTTGCCTCCCCAATATATGGGAAATAAAAACATCAATGGAGGCCATGGGGTTAATCCAGGTATGAAGTTTGGGAATCCATTTCTTTTTGTGGTGCAAATGCAATTATTCAGATGGTCATAACTCACTGTAACGAGGGATGAATTTGTAATATTGGAAGTCCAAATTGATTGTTCCTTAATTTATTCTCTTTTCTACTATAAATTTCATATTATCTCATGTTCTTGGAAACAGTTCCTTGGCAATGACAATGAGCTGATCTTCTCCATTTAATTGATCCTCTTTTCTGATTATGAGTATCATAATAACTAAAAGTGGCACTGTCTGACAAGGGAAAATTTAAAGGGGAAAAAAGTTGACTCCATAGCCTTGGCTGAGGGAAGATATGGAGAAAAAGTGTGACTGTCAAAGAAATTTGTTGGACAAGACCAATTATGACCTTACCAAATTACCATGCTGATTCCTTGATGGATATATAACCAAAGAATAAGAAGTTTGGTTTACAGCATGAAGCATTTCCTAAGCAATAATTGATATCAATTTTTACTGAATAAAATTAACAGGCTCTGACCCTAATGCACAAACACTTTTTCGCAAGATTATGTATATATTTCATTCGGCTTAATTAATTAACTATGATTATCGTAGTTAAGGTATTCAATACCCGCATATCTCTCTATTTTAAGAAAATTAAGGATTGATATGAACTTAAGTTTAAATCAATTGGTTCATATAATTATTTATATTTAATGATATTCATTAGGTTTGAAATTTAATTTTCAAAACTTATAACTTTTTATATATTAAAAACTGCAACTTGAAAATATGAAAAATAATTATAATTGCAAATGAATGTTGTCTCTTAAAAGTATTAATCAATTGCATTAAATTTTGAATTTTTTAAAACTCTTTATTATCTTTATACAACAATCTTTATGATAAAAAAATAATTAATGTGACGCAGTTCAACTAATTTAAATCACATTTAAAAGACCTATATTACGGAGGTTTCATATATGTTAGTTTATAATTTTTTTTAGCTCACGAGTCACGATAAGAAATTAATATTTTTAACAAAAAGTTTCAATTCCACAAAAAACACTAGAATTTTATTTATTTATACTGCTTTGTATGAAATGAAAAGTGATTAGATATACATATATAGTCACATTGAATTTGATTGGTATTATATTATTATTATATCTTAAATCTTTTCATCTAAGAATCCTATCAAACACATTCAAAATGTTCATTTGACAACAGATATACTGTTATCTCACATTTGTGTCTTTTATATTGATTAGTGAGAAGAATAAATACATATATATATATATATAGAGAGAGAGAGAGAGAGAGATTTGTTGAAGTCAAAGGGCCAATGACATCCACCTAACTCAATTTTATTTAATAGTAGCAATTTAGAATGCATTAAGATTGGTAGAATTTAGATTAAGTACAAAAGATATCCTTTCACAAAACACAAATAAAGGTTGGATTATTAAATTGTTTGCATGAGAATCCAGACCACCTCCTAGTAATGGACCAAAGACACATTCTCCACTGTTCACACTTAAGTGCAGTCTTGATTTTCATAACTTCAATTTTTTAAAAACCACTTTCATCTAACCTGACAAATTTTTTAGGTAACGCCTACGGCAGCTAGATGTGGCAAATTCCACACCCAAAAACTGCCAAGTTGCCCAAAGTTAAACATGATTTCTTTGACATTGATTGTGGAACTATGACGTGAGGCAGGCTTTCAGACTTGATAGACTAACAAAAATTAAGGCCCATATTCAACAAATTAATTTCTCTTGTCAAAGATTCGGGGACTGTTTGTTCTCTCCTGTGTGTTCGTGAGTTTTATTAAACTTGGTTATGGTAATATCTGTTTTCTGTTCGATACAAATAACAAGAAAAATGAAATTCTTTTTTTTTTTTTATAAATTATATCGGCCCAATAATTTCATGCGTTTGTGGAGTAACTAATATTATTTTAAATTGGTTAAATATTGAGTTTCTTAGTGTTAAATTGCTTCTGTTAATTATCGAGTGATTTCAAGTTGGCTGTTCACATAATATATTTGATCAGTTCAAAATTTTTTTTATAAAAAGACTATAGCTTTGGATTAGGGAAATAAATTATAAAAATTTAAATTTAATTTCAAATATATTAAATGTCAATTGTTAAAAATTATTATAAAAATTAGCTAAAATAATAAGTTTTAGGTTCAAGTCCAAGTTTGTTGTATTTCTTATTATAATTTGGGTAAATTACTATATATATATATATATATCTTGTGGTTAAACGTGATTTGACTTTACTCCTTAGAATTTGAAATGTGATAATTAATCAACTTAAATTGTTTTTTCATATTATTCTGTTAGCATTCACTAATGCAATTAACACCTAAACCCTTACCTTCCCCAATGCCTCTTTATCTCCTTATCCCCATTCTCTCTCAAAAGTTTTGGTAATCCATACACAAATTTGAAACCACATCTTTTTCTTTCTCCTCATCATCTTCTACAAAAATTACTTCTTTTTCATTCTTAAAGTACCTTGAAGGATATAGCTTTTAAATGAATTCTTATTAGGATTTGAAGTTGATAACCCACATTTAAAGTGTTTGACAAAGGTGTGAATATCTCTAGGAAAAGGTAGTTTAGCCTCTGCTTAATAAAAGATTCTTGAAACAATGTTGTTCAAGGATAAAATTATTTTTTTTAGCTTTGATTCACCTAAGAAAATCTAAGAAATTTGAATATGGGGCTTTGTTTTTGTGACTAAAATTGAAATAGAAATACTCATCACCATTGCGTTTACAATTACTTGTTAAAGAATCCATTGATGAAATTTACAAACTTCAAACCCTGAAAACTCAATACTGATTCAAAGAAAACCATGAAACATAGATTTAGGAGGTTAAGACTTTTATAAAAACCCTAAAAGCATAGAATCCAGAATAACCATTTCTAAAGTTGAAAACCTAGAATTTGAAAAACCAAGATACATCAAAACCCCATGAAAAGATAGGATTTTTAGAAGAAAAAAAAAAACCCTAGAAATTTTGAAGTGGAGAAAATAAGTGGAAAAATGGGAAGAGTGTTTTCTAGACAAAAACCTATTGACTTTTTTTAGGAAAAATCAATGAAAAAAATTGATGAAAAATTACTTAAATAGTTGTTTTATGTACTTTACCATAAGCATGAAGAAGGCAAAAAAAAAAAAAAAAACTCAATAAATAAGCAATAGTCATCAATATCTTATACTTCACATCCATCTGTATTTGCATCTCATTACATGAAAATGAAGATTTGTGGTTGTTTTTTAGCAGTATTTTTAAATAAACGTCACAAAGTTTTATGTTTTTATAAGGTTAGTAGTGTTTTTTTTATAAAACACCTCTAAATTTTTATATAATGGTGTTTGGATTTTAAAATGTCACTTAAAATATATTTTTATAGCGTTTGTTGACCTAAACACTACTATATACTTTGACTTTTATAAATTTCGGGTTGTTTACGTAAACAACATTAAAAACAAATATACAAACTAAAAAGAACATAGGCGGCATTTGGTTCGAGGGAATCCAAACATTTTCCCCCCAGAATCTTACTATTAGGTATTTGATTCTAATGTTTGGTTCAGGGTAATCTGATTTTGAGAAAAACTTATAGATTTTCAACAATACCTAAAGTCTTAAAATCAAAAACACACATCTCTCTGTAGGATTCTAAGATTTCAAGAGGAAAAGTAATATTATTTTCAAATTTGACTTGACTAACAAATTGTGAAATAGTCATTACCATTTTAAAAAGCATATTTGAAAATGAAAGCAAGTCAATTGTAGATTTTTACTAGTAAAAAATTTGGTTTATATATGACGTTTGGCATAAAAAAATGCCTTCAATAATCCCTTACAAAAAAATTGAATAAGGTTATTGAATGCATTTCTACCCAAAAATACATTGAATAATCCCCTTTAATTTTTATAAGGATATTATTCAAGGCATTTTTAAGGGGTTATTGAAGAGGTTTCTGGCAAAAAACACCTCGAATAAATTTTTTTATTTTTTTAAGGATTATACAAGGCGTTTTCTGTCAAAAAGGCCTTCAATAATCTCCTTCTATTTTTTTTAGATTATTTTCATACAAAAAATTGAATGGGGTTATTCAAGGCATTTCTAGCTAAAAATACTTTGAATAATCCCTTTTAATTAAAAAATAGAATGGATTATTTAAGGCATTTTTGGCTAAAAAATGCTTTGAATAATCTTTGTTTCACCCTCTTTATTCATTTTAGGCTAGAATTTTCTCTAACACTCATAGTTCATCATTTCTTTCCATCGTAAAGCTATTTTTCTCCCTTTCATTTTAGGCTTTTGTAGAGTCAAAACCTAAAACTTGACCCCTAACATAAATCTCTAACAGCCAAATTTGTTTAAGGCTTTTGTAGAGCCAAATTTGAGTTTCGTGATATTGATGCCTTTATGTTCAAGCCAAATTTGTTTTAGGTTTTTGTGTTTTAGCTAGGCCCATAAATGAAGTAAAAAACTTAAGTGTATGTGTGTGCTGAGGGTTGTGAATTTGAAAACAAAATAGAGAGCAAACCATGTGAGCCAAAATAGAAAGGAGAAAGGCTATGTTATGTCGTGAACAAGAGAAGAAAAAATGGCTTATTTATTTTTGTGTAAGTTTATTTTTATTCTACTAAATAAATATGTTTGATGCATTTTGAAGTGAAGAAATTTGTTATTTTGATTGCTATTTATAAACTTGAATTTTAGTTGTGATTGAAAGTTGATTATATGGTTGTATTAAATATTAAACTTGGTTGTTTGGTGTAGACACCCAATTTGGTCCAGGCTCGGATTAATTGGGCCTGGTCCAAATGGGTAAATCAATTTTGTATTTTTATTTTATATCTTATTTATTTATTTATTTATTATTTATTATTATTTATTAATATAAATATATTTATCTATTAATATATATTATTATTTAACTATTAATGTATATAAATTTTTATTATTAACTATTATCTATTATTTATCTATTAGTATATATATTTATTTATTTATTATTTATCTTTTTTTTTTTTTGCTGGGATTAAAGGATATTGATCAAAAAGTGAGAGTTTTATCGCAAATTTGAGATTCAATCAGAGTCTAGATTGGATTCAAGGATTGAATCCCAATCCAAAAGAGAATTGGGATTGATCAGAAACTCTTCTGATCAATCCCTATAAATAGATACACAAAAAACGAACGAAAACACACAGATAGACGAAAAGAATAGAGAGAAAACATAAGCTAAAAAAGTTTTGGTGCGTTAGATATAGTTTTAGGAATTTGTGAGAAATTTTTGAGAATTTTTGAAGTTTTTTTTCTAAAAAATTTCTGAAATTTTTTCAGAATTCGACGAAATTTTTCGACGAACCTTGAATTTTTCGACGAGTTTTATGGCCAACTTTGAAGTTTCCAGCGTTATTTTCTAGAATTCGA